GTGAGGTATCTCGTACTTAAAAATACAAATATATGAATGTCTTACAACATGATTCAAAGAAATAATACACAAAACAATTTTTCGCCAGAATTACTTTTTTGTTTACGCCTTTTTGAATGCAGCTGATTGATTTATATGTAGGAGTACTTTTAAAGCATATTTTAGAAAGTGAAATCACACTCGAGTGTGTTTGTTTGATGTCTAGCACAAAGCTACACAATAAGCTATGTGTACTTTGTCCACCGCGGATATCGAAAGCCAATATTTAGCATTATAAGCTTTGTACTTAATAGCATTGGAGAATATAGGAATATGGATCATCCAGTAAGAAACCTGCAACAAGTACCCCAAACATGGTAAGCAAAGTACAGTGTAATAAGTGAGAATCTGTGGTCACTAAGGTCAGTGGTAAATTCCATTCACATGTCCAAGGTAATATAATCAAGAAGGGTATTTGTCTATAAAAGTAACATAAGTCACTTGCACACAAGTTATTTCCAAGACATATTCGTTCAACTGTCGTACTTCAAACAGCTGAAGAATTAAATGGGTAGTCATGCTATTCCATACGAAGATAGTCTGTTTAACTCACCAGACTTAGTACCTATGGACTATTGAAACACTAAATGAATTATAGAATGCATGCAGGGAAGAGTTGTGTGCTATAAACATGTCATTCTTACGACATAACCTTTTACAATGAAGACTATGCTGCAGAGCTTTTATCAAGATGTATGGTCGTCAGATAGAGCATGGCCGGAAGTGGTGACATGGATTGTAACGACGTGGTGAGGCTCCAAAATCGTTTTAATATAACGTACTCAACCTCTGTAAATGAATAATTAACTACTATGCTGGCGTTTATATTCACCGAGAATACAGGGTACAGCGTATAATATGTGTTTGTTGTGAGAAATTACGCATGCATAGATTGTATTTGATATTTAGAAGAACTTGTACAAAATTATGTTCGCCATCATGATAGCAAAAAGATCATTTTGTAACGATCTCAATGGTATTTGTTGATGTTCAAACACAAATAATGCAAAACGTAGAATTCAAATAATAAACCTTTTCCCCCCAAAACAAGTACCACATTGTACTCGAAAGATTTATCCACAAATAAATAAATAAATCAGCAGTAATAGTACGAAATATCATTTGTAAGATTTTTGTTTTCGAGGTAACTTCTGTTTCAAAGGTTTCATGGATACTTGTCGAAACGGCATGGTGATATTACGTCGATTTCTTAAAGATTTATTGTAATGGGAAAAATGTATTTTAGAATTATTTCTGGTTTAGTTAAATTATTTTACATAATGTTGTTTTCCCTGCGATTAACATTTTGTTGTATGACGTGTGAAGCTAATAGCTTTATAATAAAATATAAAATAATTTTATTGAGTAAAGGTATGAATGTTTATGATATAACTTTGACAACTAATTAAACAGTGAATGATCTTTTATGCTGAGATAATAGAGCTGATAATTGGGTAATAAATTTATGTAATTTTTAACAAAACCTTTTTGGGAGTTCAGTTTGCTGGTTACTTTTGTACTGGTATTTTCAGTCTAAGTGACATCTTTAGTACACGTGGACTAACAACTGGGCAAGTATAGAATTGACAAGAGGGAAGACAGCTAGTCTGCAGCACCCCGCCACAAGGGATTTGTCCGGCTATGAACCAAATAACGGAACTGACCGTCACTCTTAGAACGACGAACTCTGAATGTGAACAATGTGAAACATTTTGTTAGACCAGTTATTTTCAACATCCCAAAATGATTTATTAATTTAACAAAATAGAGTCGTTTGTGTTCAAACGCAATTCTTTGTGTGATTACTAGCCTAAGAAAGCTCGAAAAGATCTGTACATAATGCTACAATTCAGTATAATCGTGACACAGTTCGTAAATATAGTGCTGGAAGGAGTTGGTATCCTTTAGATTTAGAAGCTTTCAAAAATTTAGACTTAAGTTATTTAATGTATATGTATAGTGTCCAATTGGAATGTGACATTTCACAAACCTGAAAGTATTGCGTATATGGTAAAATAAACGAAGTAATAATTCTCTAAATGTATGCTGTAACATACATACTGACACACATCTTGTATAAAGGAATACTTAAAAAAATCCACTTGCGTAAGAAACTTGTGTGTCAGAACAGTCTTTTATTTTGTAAAATAAAATTTTTTGGTGCCTTCTTAATGTTGGACTCCGTGAATAAACGTGGATATAGGTGGCACCACAAATGTTGTTTTGTGCAAAGCTATACAATTGGTTATCTGCACTCTGTCCACCGTGGAGAATCGAACCCTGGATTTTAGCGTTGTAAATCAATAAACTTATCATCGACCCACCGGGGTGACAGTCACTACACATACCTCACTCGTAAATAACAAAAGTGGCCTGTAGAAAAGCTTATAACAGGTAGCGCTACAATCACAGTGATTTGTTTCTTGTTCTGTTATAAAGTGTGATTGACCTTGCAGAAACATGGCTAGAAGGTGGCGCCAGAATTACAGCTATTATTTTGCTTACTAATAACACAGGGAACTTTAGACAGGTGTTTATAAGTTGTGGTAATAAAAGTACACTGGTCTCCTTCTGATCAATGAAGTGTACGAGTGAACTAACAAGTGAGATAATCACAAATGTATATATTACAAGGTATCGTATCAAGCTTTCATATAAAAAAAAAACAGCTACTGTATAGTTAAGTCGTATATTATACTCTCTGTGACGTAGTATTATTCATTGTGCTCTTTAATCCGGCTTTTCTTATAGCATTTCTATAGCATTAATTTAACATTCATTAAGATAAGGAGACGTGTTCGTGCTGTGTTCGTTTTTTCACGAGTTTATGGCTATTCATACTTATAACATTAAATCAATACCTTTGTATTACATACTTCATGTTTCTAAACACAGATATATTCATTTACATGTGGAAATCTTGGTTCTGGGCCAGGCAAAATAACCCTTAAAATACTCTATAAAAAAATTCACCTAATCCAGTAATGAGCTGTTAAAAGCGACATCGTTTTCAGAAACTCAGAAGGTATGATAGGACTAGTATTGGAGTATGTCTCTTGTGTTATTTAATGCAAAAGGAAAAGTATGTATGTTCTGCTTTCCATGTTTATAAAGGTGACGAACAGCTTAGCTAATCCGCTGTAAAGTTTATTATTCATGTGGGTTCACCAAAAGATGCACGTATAGTTTACGATATAATGGCCTGATAACAGACTCTTCCGTTTGTTTACAGTTTAGCTGTTTAATAGTGTTTAAAGTTTGATATTGATTGAATTCGCTTTCTGTTGAGTATGTTTAACAAAGTTTTGAGCGCCTTGGATAATTGAATATTTATGAAAGCTTGTAACTTCTCCGGGACTCAAAGGATTTGAATACAAATTTTCTCTTCCATTGAAACAGTATATGCACTGCAAAGTGAACAAAGTAGAAAGCTGAGAGAGGCAATAACCGTTTTCAGTGGACATAAGATTGAGTGGTATGCAAATACCTTTAAAAATGGCTCTTACGATAAAGATGGCCCTATAGAACGCAATTTAAAAGGACCTTAAAAATACATATCTCGGAACCTTTTTTCTTACTTCATTGACCCTCTCTCTACATCTGGGAAAAGTATTCTTGATATGTATATTTTTTCCACGAAGTTCAACGTATTAATGCAAGTTATTTTATAAATATTGAAAAAATAAGAAGTGAATCTGAGCTAAAGAAGTCGGTTTTCTTTCATCGCTCTATGTGTCTTTATCATCTTCTACATACTGTAGACATAGTAATTTAAATGTAATGTTTAATCGTTCTCTAAACTCTTATTCTTTTGTATATAGGCCTGGTGTGGCCTAGCGGTTAGGGCACTCGACTCGCGATCTGCGGGTTCGAATCTAGTTGCCGAACATACCCGCCCCTTCAGTCGTGGGGTCGTTATAATGTTACGATCAATTCCACTATTCGTTGGTAAAAGAGTAGCCCAAGAGTTGGCAGTGGGTGGTGTTGTATATATTTCATGCGTGCTATAAAGCGATATAAATCTAAGGAGTAATGAACCTGAAATGTCTGTTAAGTCTCGTTTTTTTTAACAGAATTTCCATGGATTTACTTCACTTTGTATGGTTGGTGATTCTTTAACTGGAAGTTTGCTGTACTTTAGAGAATGCATGCTGTGCGTAGCCGATGAGCAAAATATTAGCTTAAATATCCTTAAAAAAACAAAGGTAAATCCTTTGCTTATGATGATGTTTCTTATGCCTGAGGGCGAGGGACGAGGGAAGACTAGTTCAGCATCTTAAGAGGTTCCAAATAATTCGAAAACTACTGTTATTTTTATAACAACATAGTATTGTTGTTTGTATTTAAGTGCAAAACTATACAATGAGACTTCTATCGCTATAAGTCTTTAAGCTTACTGTTGAGACACCGGTGGGACCACCATAGTATATAGTGTAAGTTATCTCAAGTCAAAATATAATACCTGTTTTATGCCCTAAAAAGTTGGCATTATAAATGTTGTTAAAAAAATAGATTTATAAGGTTGCTGGAATACTGCTATTTTTTTAGAACAAAGCTACACACTAAGCTACCTGTGCTCTGTCCACCGCATTGATCAAATCCCGGATGTTATTGTTTTAAGCCTGTAAAATTATTGCTGGCCTACCAGGGTACAGTACAGTTGGTAGAATGTTAATCATACACAAAACAACAACACTTGGAAGTGTTTGTTTATATTTTCACTCCGTGTTCATTCAGGATGTTTAAGAAACAGGCGTAACGCGTAACATCGTTTATTACGCGCGAAAGCTGATTGTTTAATACTGTGAGCTTCGTTAATTAATTGGAATGTTTTTTATTAATTAGACTCTTTTCTTGTCGATCCTCCTTTATATATCATTTCAAACATCTATTTTTATTCTGATTTTAATCTTTTTCGTAAGTTAAAAAAAAACAACAACATTAAATTTATATTATTTTAGGTATTACTAGTGACTAGTGGTCGGGTCCCCGGGCAGTGGATAGTCCCAGGCGGTGGACTTGAACCAGACGAAGAACCAAGCATTGCAGCTATAAGAGAAGTCATGGAGGAGGCTGGTGTACGAGGAACCTTAGGACGGTTTCTAGGAACCTTTGAGGTGGTGTATTATAACTCGTTTTTCTCACGTTTTTAGCTAATCGAATGCACACATGTTTAGTGTTTTGTTTGTTAGGTGTCTGATTTAATATCACTCAAATTTATCTATAACTAAACATTTAAATGTAAGCACGCATTGATGTAACAAAAAAATGAATCAGTTCACACTTTAGAGTTTCGCAAGATTAGTTTAAACTTCAGATTCGCCAATATTAGACTTTCACGAATTCTCAGTTGCTCTGTATTTATTCTTAACTCGACCAACTATCACATGCATATCACTATTTATAGCAGTTAAGACATGTCGTACTATGCATTCGGAATTTTCAGGTTTCCTGCAAATATACTTTTTATGCCAAATTTATGGTAAATTCTATACTCTTTGCCATGTAATTAAGACATTTAAGTCACAAAACAACTTGTTATTCTTAGGTATTGTACCCTTGACATTTATATATGTCGCCTTATACGGTTTAAACATATACCTAGTTCGAAAAAAGGTTTCTATCCCAGGCAGAGTTATACAGATCAGGTGCGTGTTAAATAACTATGCATTTCAAGTTATTTGTGTTCTGTAAAGTACGTAATCAGACAGAATTTCGTAAGAAACTTGCATTGAAACTATTAGCGAAAATATTACCAACAGCAAATGTACCCAAATGACGAATCAATGCATTTTAATTATTATAATTTATTGTTTTATGATATTGGGATGACAACTGAAGATATCGCTGACAGTAGGGGTACCAATTTGGTGAATCAATGCATTTTAATTATTATAATTTATTGTTTTATGATATTGGGATGACAACTGAAAATATCGCTGACAGTAGGGGTACCAATTTGGTGAATCAATGCATTTTAATTATTATAATTTATTGTTTTATGATATTGAGATGACAAGTGAAAATATCGCTGACAGTAGGGGTACCAATTTGGTGAATCAATGCATTTTAATTA